GCGGGCCCGCTCCAGTGCCACCGGTGCCACCAGTGCCACCAGTGACCCCCCCAGTGCCACCAGTGACCACCAGTGACCCCCCAGTGCCACCAGTGACCACCAGTGACCCCCAGTGACCCCCCAGTGCCACCAGTAATGTCCCAGTGACCCCCCCAGTGACCTCCCAGTGCCACCAGTGACCTCCCAGTGCTCCCAGTGACCTCCCAGCAGCCCCAGTGTCCCCTCCCAGTGCTTCCAGTGCTCCTCGACCCCTCCCAGTGCTCCCACATTCAACGCAGTCACCCCCAGTGCTCCCCTGTGACCCTCCCAGTGCGCCCAGTTCCCTCCCAGTCCCCCCCAGTCCCCCCCAGTGCCCCCCCAGTGCTCCCAGTCACCCCCAGTGCTCCCAGTGCCGCACTCACCCCGGGCCGGTCCCCGCTGCAGCGCGGCCTCGGGGCTCCCGGGGGGGACACTGGGGGTCCCGGGGTGGGGTCACCCCACGGCCAGCCCGGGGGGGGCCCTGGGGACGGTGACACCTCTGGGTGTCCCCTCGAGGCCACCCGGGTCCCTCCCCCACCACCCCCGACATCCAGGACCCCCCCCCTGCCCTGGGTCCCTGCCAGTGTCCCCCCACCCAGGACCCTCCTGTCCCCCCCGTCCCCTCTGTCCCTCCTGTCCTTCCTGTCCATTCTGTCCCCCTGTCCTTCCTGTCCCCTCTGTCCCCCTGTCCCCCCCTGTCCCTTCCTGTCCCCTCTGTCCCCCCCACCTGCGGGTCCCCCTCCGGGCAGGAGGAGGATGAGGATGAGGATGGGCCGGAGGGGGGTTGGTGGCGCTGCCATCCTGTCCCCGCTGTCCCCAGGCTGTCCCCGCTGTCCCCAGGGTGTCCCCGCTGTCCCCAGGGTGTCCCCGCTGTCCCCAGGGTGTCCCCGCTGTCCCCACCCACGCCGCGGGGATGTCCCCGTGTTACCGTGTCCCCCCCGCCCCCCGTTGCCCCGGTGACACCCTTGGGCCACGGGGACGTCACGGGGGTGGCCCCCGCGTGTCCCTGATGTCCCCAGCCCTGCCCGGTGTCACCTGGATCCTCCAGCTGTCCCTCCATGTCCCCAACCCCCACCCCGTGGCCTCTGCCACCCTCCTGTGCCCGTGTCCCTCCCTGTGCCATCCCTTCCCGTGTCCCCAGTGTCCCCATCCTGACGTCCCTGATGTCTCCACCCTCCTGTCCCTGTCCCCATCCCGATGTCCCCAAGGTCCATCTGTGCCACCCCCATCCCCCATGTCCTACCACTCGTGTCCCCAGCGTCCTCTCGTGTCCCCAACGTCCCACCTCGTGTCCCCAATGTCACACCTCTCGTGTCCCCACCCTCCGCTTTCCCATCCCAGTGTCCCCATGTCCATCTCCCCGTGTCCCCAATGTCCCCATCTCAATGTCCCCCCACATTTCCCCGTGTCCCCACTGTCCTGTGTCCACCCTGATGTCCCCAATGTCCCCCCGTGTCCCCAGAGCCTGACGCCAACGCAGCCCCTCGGGTTCCACATGCGCATTTATAATAATAATAATAATTAATAATAATTAATAATAATAATAATTAATGAGGGGGACGGGGGGCGGCGCCGCCCGCGCCCCCAATGCACTAAAACTGCACCTGCTGGCCTTGGGGACAGTGGGGACACGGCAGGGACACGGCCTGGCCCTGATTGTCACCGTGCCACCCGGGGCCACCCTGGGCCGTGTCCCCGCTGTCACATCCTGGTGCCACACCATTGGTGTCACGGCCCCAGGCCGTGTCCCCAGTGTCACATCCTGGTGTCACATTCTGGTGTCACATCCTTGGTG